CAATGTTGCCTTTATTTGATGAAATTGACGAAACGCAAAATAATGCTGACTTTAAAAAATAAAATAAAAATTGGAACCAATTGTGTTTGTCAATTTTTATTTTTTATTTTTGATGACGAAAGTGACTTTATTTGTTTATTTGATTTGGAACTGATTGTGTTGATCAAATATATTTTTTATTATTAATTCTTCAAACAAGATATATATATATATATATATATATATATATATATATATATATATATATATATATATATATAAGTATAAGTAAAAGCTGAATAGAAGTTCCTTTTGATTATATATCTGTCTTATAGAAAACAAAATGCTATGTTATGTGTTCCTCTCTCTTCCATGTAACTGGTCATTGCAAATTGTGGTGGAAGTAACTCAATGCTATGTAGTGAGGTGTTGGTTCAATTGCAAGTTTTTTTTTTTATCTTGAACGATTTATCTAAATTGTTGTGTTATCCAATACGGGCTTGAATTTGAGGTAATTGTACAATTTTGGATATAATGATTTTGGTATCGGATAAAATGATATCATTGTTTAAATGATATCAGATATGTATAATAAGATTCATACATTAGCTCTTGATTGTTTTGGTATTGGATAGAATAGATATACTAATATACCATGATACCGAATAATATAATATATTTGAATTTAGTGTAATTTATCCATTGATTTAATTTAATTCACCCTTTGATTTATTTTATCATATTTTATACTCGAAATATCAATTTAGGAGAGAGTGTGTTAGTCAGAGTTATATATGATTTGATCTAGACTTTAGGAAAAAAATGAGTTTTCACATGATTAATTTAGAAGAAGGTTCCTTTGTTTTGGAATTGAAATTCATAATACATTGCATTTTTTATATTGGATTTAGAAGACCCTTGTTGGATATGATTGAAACCTTTCACAGATATAATTTTATGTTTGTAATTATGGGTAAATGAAAACATTTGGATAGAAGCAAATAGATTTGCTATTGGTGTTTTTGTATTTAGTTTAATACTATTTGGAATGAATAATTTAAAATAGAAGTTATTTGATGATCATGTGGGTTATATCGCATTAAACATGAATAAAAATGCATGAATCCATTTGACGAATATTTCTTCGTTTAGAGGGAAAAAAATTAATTAATGGTAATTTAAATATCAAATTATGAATTTATTGTTGTTTTGAAACTATTTACGCGTGTATTGCAGTGTGTCACGCCTGGATTGGGCGTCACCAGTCACACCTAAATTAGATGTCACCCGCGAGGCATTTACGCTTAATTTAGGCGTGACTCGTCTGGTGTTGACACGTGTCACAAAAAGTTAACAATTTCACGTAAAACTTTGAAAGACCATAACTTTTGACTCGGGTATCTGAATCTGGTGTTGACATGTCATGCAGGAAGTGGGCTCAAGGGATTAGAGGATCCTCTATGAACCTTGAGCTTACTGATGATCCTCTATAACTTTTGACTCGGATACCTTGAGCTTACTCGGGTATCCTCTAGGTTTGGGGACATCGTTTTAGGTACCCAGAGTAGTGGTGATGCTTCTAGGGGCAAGGCCCCAGCCTTGGAGTAGTGGACGGTGATGCTGATTTATTTATTATGATTAGACTTTATGATAGCATGTATAATTATTAACATGCTTAATTATCCAGTAAGGTCCTATTACGCCTTTCTGATACACCATTTTGTTGCGGTGTACCGGGCATTGTGTATTGAGCACAAATACCACGCTTTTCCAGAAATTTAGCAAATGGGCCCGGATGTTGTCCACTTTCATCATACCTTCCATAATATTCACCACCCCTATCAGACCTGACAATCTTCACCTTTCTGTCTAATTGCCTTTCAACTTCATTAATATAAATCTTCAAAGCATTTGCAGCTTGAGACTTATCATGCAGCAAATAGACATAACCATAACGTGAATAATCATCAATGAAAGTGATAAAATATTTTTCTTTATTGAAAGCATTAACATCAAACGGACCACATACATCAATGTGTATAATTTCAAGAAGCTGAGTGCTCTTTGTGGCTCCTTTCTTTGTGTGTTTTGTTTGTTTTCCTTTAATACAATCCACACAAATATTTAAATCAGTATAGTCTAAATCTGGAAGAATTTCATTATTTACCAATCTTTTCATCCTTTCTTTGGAAATGTGTCCCAAACGTTTGTGCCACAAGTAAGCAGAACATTCATTAATTAAGGCACGTTTAGTACCAACATTATGATGCAGAGTCATAAGCGTTTCAGCATAAAGATTATCAAGACATAATTTATATAATCCATCACATAAAGTACCATTACCAATCAAATGATTGTGCTTGTACAAACTGAAACTACCACTACCAAATTTAAAAGAGTATCCAGCAACATCAAGTTTGGAAATTGAAACTAAATTCCTAGATATACTAGGTACATAAAGAGTTTCACATAAATCCAAATGAAATCCACTGTCGAGAATTAAACGGTACGTCCCAACAGCTTCCACCAGAACTTTCACTCTATTGCCCATAAGGACAAACTTTTCATTTGGCCTTGTGGTTTGGGTCATAAGAAATCCCTGCATTGTATTAGAAACATGAGTAGTACAACCAAAATCAATCCACCAAGTATTATAAGGAACTTCAGCCAGGTTTGATTCATAACATACATAAGCACTAGGCTTACCTTTCTTTTCGAACCAAGCCTTACGTTTCAGGCAATCCTTTTTGAAATGCCCTTCCTTTTTACAGAAATGGCACTTCATCTTTGCATTACTTTCCTTTTTGTGGATTTTAGAAGAAGATGCCTCATTCACTTTAAGGGGTCCTCCTCCTCCTCCTTTCTTCTCATGCTTCTTTCCTTTATTCTTTTCAGCTCCTTGATGCTTTACATAATTGATGGAATGAGCTCCCTGATTCTTAAGTCTGGTTTCCTCCTGAACTAGCATACTGTGCAATTCATGCACATTCCATTTATCTTTCATGGTGTTATAGTTCATTTGGAAAGGACCATATTCAGACGGTAATGAGTTCAATACGAACTGCACCAGGAAGTTCTCATCCACAACCATTCCCAATGCTTTCAATTTTGCCGCAATGCTTGTCATTTCAATAACATGCTCATGCATAGTATGCGAACCATCAAACTTCATGGTGGTCAGTGTACTCATAAGTGTCCCAGCAAGAGACTTATCAGCTGTTTGGGAGCGTTCTTCCACAAGTTTCATCATTTCGATGGCACTTTCAGTTTGTGGAAGAGCTGACTTAATGTTGCTTGCAATGCTCATTTTCATGTACATCAAACTTAATCTGTTGGATCTTTCCCAGTTCTTAAAATGGTTCATTTCATCCTCAGTGCTTTCATCAGTAATAGCACCAGGTATCTCTTCTCTAAGAGCCATATCCATATCCATTACCCCAAGGTAAAATTTGATTTGCTCTTTCCATTCAGAGAAGTTCAGACCATTAAAAACTGCAACAGTTGAGAACATGGAATGTGTAGCAACTGGTACTGCGAGGAATAACATTTAAAACATTAATGCTTTGAGTCATACATGTCACATACTAACATAATTCACAGATTCAAATATACTAATTTCAATGCATATCAATGTTCACCTTTGGGGATCCATTAACATACAACATTAACTATAATGATGCTATATAAATTTCACATAATTTGGCAATAATGCATACCCCTATCATAAATATTTGTCATCTTTGGATGTCCAAATGTGAGAAAATATGCCAACAATACCAACATACATGTTCATTTTATAAAACAAATAATCAACATTTGGGTTGATTCCTAACTGTTCTATAATAATGAACTACAATATACCACAACATGAAAATTATTTCATACTATTCATAGCATCACAGTCATGGTAATTGAAATAAAATTCATAATATTTGAAATTAAAATAACTCTTCAAGATTTGGCCAATTTGGTGACTAACAAATCTACCATAATTAATTTCAAAATTTTAATATTTCATAGAGCCAGGATCCTTTGACACCGGTGTCAAATTTGAAGTTTGACACCTCATCTGAGAGCCGTTAGATCAAAAAAGATCAACGACTCTGATTTGTAAACATGTGACACCATTGATCTTTTTTGATCTAATGACCCTCGGATGAGATGTCAAACTTCAAATTTGATACCGGTGTCAAAGGATCCTACCTTTATTTCATAAACAATAATAAAATTAAATTTTCACATTCAATTTTAATCCAACCACATTACATAATCATTGATGGTTTAGAAAAAAAAAAATATTGTGACAGTGACATGTACTGGCATGCTTTTACAATTCAAGAATATATATCATCATTCTTTATATATACAAGTGGATTCAAAACGCCAGTATACAAGTCTCGTAAATTCAAAACCATTTGAACACGGAAACCGAGAAAATATCAATGGGCAGGAAATCTCACGCAACTTCATGCATATATATATATCCATCGAATCCCACTTCACTTTTATTTTGCAAATCGGTAACTTTGAATTGAAAGGAATGGATTTCATTTTGCAAATCGATAATATGGAAATAATGGGTTTTGTCCTTTTGTGAATTATAAAGTCAATCCAAATTTTTTCTTCAGAACTCACGATCACGACATCATAAAATGCAGTATTTGAAATATGCATTTCAAATCAATATGCAAACCGTAATATGAACGCAAAATTCAAATGATGATCGCGAAAACCGAATAATTTATATTGATCGACTTTTATTTTATTTTCAACGATGATCGTCAATTTTTTCAAAAAACCCTAGCTTTTCATGAATCAAGAGATCATGCATAATTGTTTACGGAAAATCATAAACTCTTAAACACAAGTTCTGATACCACATATAAGTTAATTTCATCAGTAATACATTTATTCACATTCAACAGTAATCATTCAAGAACATGACAGAGGATCTTCAGAATTTATGAGTTTCACTTTGATGGTGAGATTCTTTCTCTGAGTCTTTACCCTTCACTGTTCTTGTATCTTCTTTGATAGGGATAGGATACAACTATCATAGGCAGATCCCAGATAGAGCGTTCTTTCCTGTCAGAGACACTTACACAGAAAACTGACCATATAACACTTATGTAACTGCACCTATCAGCAGTTCCTCTTTTAATAACTTTCCTGTACTGTCAATTACCATTATGCCCTTTTATTAATTAAATCAACTAACACTTAATGTTATACCTGAGACACAATTAGTTTTACATTAAGGGCTCTGAACACACATCAAGCAATCAGTCTGCTTATCAAGAACTACAAGTACATATAACTTTATAAAGAACTTCGAAAGTGGAGATGGTGGGTGCTTGGATGATTCATCCACTAACTACAACATTATCAAGTTGTTCTTGCAATATTTTGAAGAAATTATTTATTCGAATCCTGTAAAGTGCCACTCCAACCTCAATTCCACCTTCTTTGTCTCTACAATCAGAAAGAGAAACTCTTCGTGCTGAATCAATATGTACTACTTCAGACTTTTTAGGCTTTCCCCACCCAAAATCAGTCTCGTACACTGCCAATTTTGGTGATCCTGCAATTACTAGTTTTGATTTACCTGGTTTCCACAATTCTCTATAATCTGACATCAAATTTTCAGCATTTCTCAAAGCATCACTCTTCAAATCTCTAACTTTCCTTTCAATAGCATTTGCTACCTCAACGACCCCATGTTCTCCCACGAGCTCACTCCTCTTCATTGCCACAATGCAAGAGGCTAGACAATTCCCAAAGTACGTTGAAGGTAATGAAAATTCAGGGAAATCACGACAATCTGCTAGAAAAACCAAGTAGCAGAGTTCATCACAGTCTTTTGCAACACAATTCCCTTTGCTCTGCTCTGATTTGATCATAGAAACCCAAATCAAGGAGCATGTTACAACAAAGGTTGATATATGCAATGTCCCTGAAGCGTAACTTGTCAATTTAAGAGAAACCCATTTCTTTAGTTTCTCAACATGTTCACGACTCAATACAAGAGTGGTGCGTACCTTGTTAGTGTAAACATCTCGCACGAGGCCTGCAAACTCCATGATTTCCGACAAAGAATGTTGTAGTTCTCTTAAGTAAATTAGCTCAAGTCCCTTTGGGTCTTTAACTATGTCTCTCTCATGGGAAGGAAGAGACAAAGAACCTTCAATGGAAGCCAAATCCCCTCTTGCCTTGCAAACGGAAGCCCAATACTTCATGAAAAGATGAAGTGATTTTCCATCCCCAGCAAGGTGGTTGAAGGCAAGGCAGATGCTGAATCCAGAGTTTGGTAGAACAGTAACTTGAATGGCCATGAGAGGGACCACACGTGTGCCATCCTCCGTAGTAAGTGGTGAAGGCAACGTGGGAACTAAGGGGTGCCAATCTCGAACGTCTTGTGGTGAATCAGATACGAGAAGGGTGAAGTCTGCGGTGGACTCTGCGACGGTGAAGAAGAGAGAGTCACCGTCTTGGTAGCGGATGTAAGGCACGTGTGGGTGTGGAGGGACAATGAGATTGGAGGCGAAGGGGAAGAAGTGTTGGAGAGTGAGGGAAAGAGAGTGTTTGAGATTGGGAAGTGCTGTTTTGAGGAAGTGATGGGTTGGATATGGAAACTCGTAGAAGAAGATGCGTTGAACAGGGTGGTGGTAGCAGTAAAACCAAGGAATATCAAAGAAAGTGAGGGGAAGAGTTGTTACGGGAAGTGAGGCTGGTGGGGGAGACACTTGACAACGCTCTATGATTGTCACTGCGTGATGATTGAGCTCATGATGAGCCATGTTTGTGCACTGTTTCTGAAACACTGAAACTGAGTCTGGTTTTGATGGTGGGAGAGCAGCCAGCCAACTTTGAATATGCTATACACTGGTCCCCATCTTGGTCAGAATATATTTGCGTAGGAATACAACATTTACCAGGAAAGAATCAAATCATTGAATATATTCTCTTATACTGTTTCTGCAGCTCACAAAACTTTTGAATGTTATGTAATTCTTTTTTTATTTCCTTAATTTGGGGCCCGCAGAGTACAACTTGTAAGCTGACAGGATGAGAATTGACCCTGATATCACAAATTTAGAGCGTACGTATTTTGTGCACTCAAGTATTTGAGTAGCGGTATTAAAACTTTCATCTCCTAATTAATTAACCAAAAATTTATTTAGAACCTGATCTCAAATGCAATTATGCAAAACAAAGTCTAACTAAGCTAAAAAAACACACAACCACCACCAAGCACATGAATCAATTGATACATGTTATTCCTGCTTATCCATTACTTTTTAAGTTTGGGTAAGAAGAATAGAAAAAAAACCACCTACTCGAAGTAAACAGTAAAACTCCATTTGAGTGACCCTATACTAAACACATCAAGAAAACCTGATCTGCAATTTTTTTAGATAACTTTATCAATATTTTACTTAAGAAAAGCATCGATTTTATCGAAATCATTTGTTATTCAATATAAAGCTACCATTCTCTTTATACAATCTCTTTTGTCGGCCACTTTTGAGATACTCATAGGGTGACTCCTTTAAAAAAATTTATCCATATCACTTCCTTTAGAAACACCTATTTTACTCTTCAAAGGATATAGACCTAACCTCTCTTACACTAATAAATCAAATATCAAAATGGTTACTGTCCCTAATCATGATTTTTGGGCCGCAGCTCATAATAATTGAATTTAACAACTAAAATATTTGACCTACTCATGTAAGTTTTAGCTGTTTATATTTCATTTATACTATAATTGATAATTATTTCGATTATTTGAACGAGATAGTATATTAAGTTATATTGGAAATTTATGAAATCAAAGTTAATTAGTTATTGGAAAGACATTTATATATACACTACAACAAACTGTGCATATAAAGGCGGTTGGTTGAACATCCAAAGGCGGTTAAAACCGCCTTAGTATGATGCAGTCGGCGGTTGAACATCCGCATCAGTTATCATGGTCGAGAAGTCAAACAAAGGCGGTTTGGGAAAAGCGTTGGAATATTCGCCAGGATTAGACAAGGGTGGTTAACCAGGCGGATAAAGTCGTCGTAGAGCATTCCAAAAAAAATGAAAAATTCATATGAAGGCGGTTATACGAACTGCCTGGTTATTCACTACAACGGTGTTTGACGTGGCGGATTTACCGGTCGTTGATTACTCTTTGGGAAAATGCAAACATTTCAATCTGGCGGTTGGTTAACCGCCTCGGTAAAAGTATTTTTTTAAATTAAATAAAATATGAAATTGTTTTATTTATTTAAAAAAGGTGAAACGTATTTATTTTAAAGTATTTAATTTATTCTTAAAAAATAAAAAATCACCACAAACTATCAGAGCAACGTATTTTTTTTAAAAAGGTAAAATTGTTTTTAATTAATTTTTTTTATATAAAAAATCCAATATTCTTTTATTCAAGACTTTATAAACATTGATGCATGGAGAATATCTATGCAAAAAGTAAACATCTTTCATTCTTTAAACTGGGAAACAGTGTGATATACATATACAGCAGAGGTCAATTGCTATACAAAACCCAAATAGATAACTAGGCAAAAAAATACCCATGTTCTATGCAAAACTAGGTAACTACTAACGTCCAAAATATACCCAGGTTATAGGCAAAACTAGGTAATTTCTAGCATCCAAAAAATGGACCTTGGTACTGCTGTTACATGAAAAACATCAAAATTTGACACTTCAATGTCAACATCCAAAAGAACCAAGTTCCATGTACAACCACTGTAATATCCAGAATACATGTCCTATGGAAAACTTCCAAATAATGCGAAATTAAAATTATGGTGGTAGGGGTGCTTGATTTGATGTTGTTGGCCCATCAGAAGGGTTATGACTAGCATGTGAGGACTTTCTGATTCCAGGAGAGCCCAACTCAACAACCTGATATAGTGGGGGGAAAATAGCATACATTAATCCATTAATGTTTTAGAAGAATGTATGTTGAGAAAAAAGAAGAAGAGAAAAGTGAGTTGGAGAATTGCAGAGACTTGTATTATTAATAGAGGCAGAGTACATGATAAGTACTGTTTATACACTTATCATGTAAAATATATCCTGACATAAGAATAACTCACTTCAACAGAACAGAAACAAATTACTTAATAGGTAAGAGAGTGCAACTGAGGAACCAAATAGTCTATACACATTATAAATCCAAGACATGTAATTATATCCCAGCAACTATATATTTCATACATACAAATACGAGAGTGAAAATTTTAATATATATACCAGAAACCATATAATCCATACAGACCAATAATCAAAGACAACTGAATATATATCCTAATAAACATAATCCATACAGAGTAATATTCCAAGACATTTTGAATAATAGTACCAGTAACCAGTATGGTATCCATACACAGAAATAATCCAGGACATTTACAATATATATAGCAGAAATCATATAATCCATAGACAGTAAGAAACGAAGACATTTTGAATATATATACCTTCAACCATTTAATCGATACACAGACAGCTTATGATATATAGTATATAATCATAGACAACTTAATATTAAAATCCCAGCACAGCAAATCTAGCATGTACAGCAAACCCGATGAAACAACATGTACGACAGAAGTACCACAGATTTTATACATTGCAATAGAACCACAGATTTTACAAAGGAAACATTAAGTGAAATATAGTTAAACTGATGGTGCAATTCGTAGAAAAGGGGTCATATACCTGATTAGATGGTAACTAACCAGCAAAAGTATGCATAAAAAGTGCCATTTGCGCTTTCAATGTGTCGATTTCTAGCACCTTGCCCTTTATAGTGTCCAATTCTTCTTTCAAGGCATCATACTCAGCTTGTGTAGGACCAGTAGAAGAAGTTGAGGCTAAACTAGTAGATGTTCTACGGATTTGGCTGGGGACCACCCCAAAACCCATGCCTCTAACGCGACCTGGGTGTTCCTTCCCAAAAACATGTACAAAAGCCTCTTGTTCAGTATTGGCTTGTTCTATCTGTGCAAGTAATTGGTCCTACATACAGGACATGAGAACCATGTAACAAAGCTCCTTAAAGGTAGACAGTAATGTAAAAAATAAATTACAATGATAATTTCATACATTTTTCAGCCTAGCTTCGTCACACACAAAATTGCCATCTCTTTTTATGTGAGAAACAACATACATCTCACCTCTGCTATATTTGCGTCCTTCTTGTATTTCCTGACATTTGGCATCACACAAAGGCCATTATTACAACTATTTACATAAGCAGAATACAATCATAATAAAAAATTAAACATGTTTTAAAAGACCATACCAGCTCCCTTTTCCTCCTTGCTAAAGTCTTTGAGCCAAGTGTATGTGGAATTGTTTGTTTCTGTCTATTTGCAGTATTGATGATACTATACTTCTGCATGTTGAATGAAAATAAATTTATTATTTTTGAATAGAACAGACAGCAACCAACAAATCTTTTTGGCATTAATCATTACCTTTGCTTTCTCACTTGTTTTATATGTCAAAAAGCTTGCCCATTGTTCCCTTGTCATGCCATTAGGGTATAAATCAAGGTTTTCCTGAAACGATTTGTCTTTTTGATATATCTCATTGGCTAGTCTCCACCTATTGTCTTTCCACTTCTTACCCATGTTGCCCATACAATAATGGTAGTGGTCATCATTATCCATAACGAATCTCTTCTGCAAGAGAAATTTGAGCCAAAAATTATACATAATAATTTAATTAAAACTTTAACATATTTTAAAATAAAAACCATTGTTACCTTAATAGTGTTGACCCAAACATCAGTCTTGTAGATGTCATCAACGTCAGGCCACCTTGCATAACTAATAGGAAATATGTTAGGGTTGCACGCAATGTGTCCCAAAAAACCACCCAATAGGCCAGCTGCCTCCCCAACAGGTTGATTCTCTTCATTCCATTCGACAACTACTCTCTTATGAGGTGGAAGTACCAAAAGATCCCGCACACGTAATCTCTCGTCATCAGCCACTCCATTATCAGCTATTACATTGTTGTTTAATGCAAGAAGAAGATAAAAACTATATTGTGAGAATATGTTAATCAAGTATAACATTAGTATAAGAATGCAATATTGGTTACAACAGATGTAGTTACCTAACACTTGAACAACCCAATACTTATTGCATGTCCTTTGGGAAGGGTTTCGTGCTCTTCGATTGGATGGCTCAGATTGACCACTAAGTGGTTCAGATTGAGCAGGTTGTGCTGTAGGTTGCGCAGTTGAAGATGCAGCAGGTTGAGGTGCAGATTGAACAGGAGGAACTTGTTGGTGGACCACCAAATCATGTGGTTGACTATTCAGTTCTTGAGTCGGTAGTAATGAGTCGGTACTAATGTGTTCTTGAGTCGTTGTCGAGTTGGTCCTTTTTGTGAACCTTTTTGTACGTACCATTGTCCTATTTACAGAAGATTGTGACAAGCACACATATATCATTTTTTACCATGAAGATACAAATCAAATTACATCATCAGTAAGACCAGTAACTATAGCATAATATTTTTTTTTGCAAAATTTAAACTGATTAAACCAACATGCTACTGTATCTTTGGTTAATTATACCTGCAAATCCAGCATGTACACATTTTGATATTCATTAAACCAGTAAAACAAGAATGTACATATATTTTAACAATACAGTTGTTGTTTAATAAACTGTTTAACACTTTAAATTATGCAGTGATGTGAACAAAAAACACCAATTATATGGTAGATACTGCACAAAGACCAAAAAAAAGTCATATGTAAACAAGTACAGTAACTGTATTAAGGAATAGTATTATCATATTTCCATTTCTTCATCATCGTTGAGATTAGCAGGCAGAAATGGATTGTCATCATCTGTGGAAGGTCGTGATAATTGTGGAGGTGTTGTGTCATCCACATCAACATTGTCCAAGTTCTGTGAAGGAAATTGGCCAGTCCATGTCATAATATCTTCACCCATATCAAACAAGTCTCTTGGCTTGACATGAATTGGCAGGGTCCAACCTTTTTCTTTCTCATCATCAACATAAAACACCATTTGAGCTTCAGAAGCTTTAATATATGGCTCATCATCATCTTTTTCACCAGTATGTATTAGTTTTGAAAAGTTAACTTGTGTAAATCCCAATTTATCTTTCTTTAGTCCTCTTTGAGTAGTTGTATCGACCCATTGACATTTAAACAAAGACACTACGAACAAACCATTGTAATTCATCTCAATGATGTCATTCAATTTCCCGTAATAAGGAACCCCACCCACATATCATCTGGCCATCTCTACTACTTGAGTAACTTCTAGTGTCAAACGTCCCATAAACCCCGCTATTTTGTGTTTTTCAGTTATTGTCTCTTTCTAAGGTCCGAAACTTAGTGCCATTTACATTATATGCACTAAACCTTCTAGCTTGGTAAAATGGACCTTTAGCAAGAGAAAGCATGATAGCTACATCTGATTCCTCAATATTGTTGATATCTACAATAATCTAGACAGACAAATGTAGTAATGATAATGTTTAGAATTTTATATAAGTTATTACTCTATAAGCATGTCTAATTCGTGAAACATTACTCACTCGTTTGGAGAACCAATCTACAAACTCTCTATGAACCCGCTTATCTATCTCCGCTTGACTTCGAGTAGTTCTCCTTAGCTGCCTCTTAACATCTGTCCTAAACTCCCTAAACAAAGACATCACTTTAAAAGGATAAAGACAATAACTTAGCCAATGAAAGGAAATTGTAAGTCAAAAACCTAGGTACTTACTCAAGATATTTTTCAACAAGTGGGCAATTGGTAAGTACATGTCTATGTGCTTGTAATCTTTCTATGTTAGTGAGATTGAAAAACGTTGTTGCACCAATTGGCTTACCTACTTTGGGAAATAATTGATCTATGCGTGTTTGGGGTTGTATGTCATCATGAGCATCATCAACACGTCTAGGTCGATTCCACCGAGTCTCAATATTGTCCAAGTACCTTGAGCAAAATGTTAGGATTTCTTGCATAAGGTACCCTTCTGCAATTGACCCTTCTGGTTGTGCCCTATTACGAACATATGATTTCAATTGTCCCAAATACCGCTCAATAGGATACATCCACCGATAGTGAACGGGACCTCCAAGCTTAGCTTCATCAGCAAGATGAACAATCAAATGAATCATGACAGTAAAAAATGAAGGAGGAAACAACATTTCCATATGGAACAGGGTTAGCACAACTTGCCTCTGTATATTATCTAATTCTGTAACGCTCAACACCTTGCCACAGAGTTGCTTGAAAAATGAGCATAATTCAATCAAAATGCTGCATACATTATCAGGCAATGATATTCTAGTAGCCAATGGTAGTAGTTGCTCCATCAATATATGACAATCATGACTTTTCAGCGTCCCACTCACTTTCATAGAATCAACATCAATGCACCTTGATATATTGCTTGCATAACCATCTGGTACAGTGATATTCCGCAATGTCTTCAAAAAAGCCTTCTTCTCTTGACTGGTCATTGTATACACTGCTAAAGGATATTTTCCATTCTGATTTGGCCAAAGGTCAGGCTTGCAACCCACTCTTTGTAGATCTCTTCGAGCATTCAAATGATCTTTTGATTTTGAGGAATCATTAAGCAAGGTGTATATGATATTGTCGCAGACATTCTTCTCAATATGCATCATGTCAAGATTATGACGCAATAAATTATGTCTCCAATATGGAAGGTCAAAGAATATGCTCTTCTTTTTCCATTGTTGGGCATTTCCTTGTGCATCACGGTCACCAACTCTTAATCTTTTCCCTTTTTCGCTAACTTCGGGTGGTTGACCAAAGGTAACATTCACATTTTGAACTTGTTAAAGAATTTCACAGCCAGATAATATCCTTGGACGATTGCGTAGTTCTTGTTTTCCGTTAAATCGAACCTTGTTCAATCTAAACTGATGTCTTTGCTGAAGAAAACGTTGATGACCCATAAAACACCACTTCTTACTATGATAAAGACGAGTAGGTTCAAAGTCAAAGTTGCACACTGGGCATGCTAACCCAGTGTGTGTATTCCACCCAGATAGATTACCCAAACCAGGAAAATCACTAATTGTCCACATTAAAGCTGCTTGTAGCTTAAACATCTCCCGTGTCAAAGCATCATATGCATCTACACCTTCATGCCATAATTCAATCAACTCTTTCATCAACGGTTGTAAGTACACATCAATATTATTTCCCGGCATTTTTTTACCTGGTATAATCGTTGAAATAATAAATGATGTCGACTTCATACACAACCATGGAGGCGTATTGTAGGGGATTAAAATAATTGGCCAAACGCTATAGCTGGAGCTCATATTACCGAATGGATTAAAACCATCTGTGGCCAACCCAAGTCGAACATTGCGTGGCTCTGAAGCAAATGATGCACGCACTTAAAATTTTTGTAATTAAAAGAAAAAATACATTAAAAGAAGAAGAAGAAAGGATGTGATAGTTTTGCAGCATCATCAGTAACGACATCGTGGAGAAGGATAAATCGTACAAAACGTAAGAGATAAATTGAGATTTTAATTATCATGACTAATTTCAAAGACTGTTATTTTTGCAAAGGTATAACGAAAGTAAAGTTTTTTCCAAAGGTACAACTCAACATTTAAAAAAGGTACAATTTTTTCCAAAGGAAAGTAAAGTTTATCTGCGCTCAAAGACAACATCATCTAACAAGACTCACAAAGCTATAACGAAAAAATCAGAAAAACTAAATAAGCCAAAAATGAAAAGGTTCAAACCAAGAACGAAGATTTGGGAAAAAATAAATACAATTTTACACATGCGTGAAAATACAAAGGCCAAAGAGGTTCAATCCATAACACATGCAGACAAGCAGAAAAGACTATATTGTGAACCTGTAGAGCTGAAGGGCTTTCCACTCGTTTCAAAAGCTTGAAACCCTTTAAACCCTACAATGATAGCAATACAACAAAAAGAAACATAAGAACAGATTCAATGTGGGTTAGGGCAAACGATATAAGATCAGAGAAAAAATAACACCCTTCAATCCTTTCGCTTATCTTCGTCAATCAATGGGGGTTAGGGCAAAGCTTAAAGAGATATAAGGAGGGAGAAAGACAAAGAAAATCCCAAGATTGGGGACAGAAAGAAGATTAGTGTGAGCTATTCAGGTGTAAACTAAAGGACTCATAAAGAAAAAATGCCACTCTATGACAGATATGGTTCGACTAACACACACTTGAGTTTTGACTGGTTCGACTAACAAAGTGTTGAGTTTTGACTGAGAGAGTGTTAAATTTACATATTTGAGATGCCCAAAAGTTGAAGAGGGAATATTTTTTACAGGTGAGGGAAAATGGAGCGGCAGGCCAAAAAATCTCCTATACATTGTACGGATAGTTGATTTATTAAATCTATTATTAATTTTTGTTTAATTTTCAATCATGTTAATAATTTTGATACATTATAATTAACTGTTTTTTTTCAAACATATAAAATATCAGTTATTTTATTAAATGGGATAGGTTGTAAGATTTTGTAAATAAAAATTTGTAAGTATAACTTTACTCTTAATAAATATATCATATATTAGTAATAAGTATAAAAGTTATTGTACATTTAAAAAAAAAATATTTAACTACAATTTACATTAAAAAATCTTAAATTATATTAGTATTTTTAATTTTTAATATATATACATGATAGTAATTTTTATAAAAATATGTTGATCAGTGTGTCCAATTGTTTTTTAATATATTAACATTTGATAATTGCATTGGTTAATAGATCAACTCATATCAGATCTAATTCTACCCTAATAGGCCTGTTAAGTTATATATCGTTTTGATGTATAAAGGGACTCTGCTGTATAAGCTTTTAGTATACGATGGTCACATCAATCATATTATACAATGCATTATCAAATACTATATGATATTATCTTATATAATGTATTATTTTATACAATACCGTGCCAAACGCTGGATAGTATTAAAATTCAATCAGGTCTTATACAATCAGGCCTTATACTATCAGATCTTATACTATCGGGCCTTATCCTATACTATGCACCAAACATGCCCTTGCTGTTTTGAATGTCATCACTGTCTACAAATTACAGGGTCCCATTATACACATATTGAGATAGACTATATATTCATGAAGCTCACTCTTCAGAATTTTTTGTGTGTGCGTAGCAGACAAACTATTTAGATTTCCATGGGCAACACACATTAAAGTTCAACATTGAAATTGACTATATTTAATGTGTCTATCTCTGTATAACTAACCAACACGAATGACACGTTAAATAACACTTGTAAATGCAACCCTCAGTGTGGTTAAGTTTATATATGTATATGTTATGTCCTGGATAGACCGTATTGCTATACCATGAGGTATGGGCTCA